TTAGTATCAGACCTGATTCATTGACTTTGGGCAGTAGTACTGTATCGGCATGATAATTCTTGGCTGTGTAGTTAATATTATTGTCATTAGGTGTTGATATGAGTATGAACACTCACTTAAAGTCGGTCAAATTGACACTGAAAGGTAGAGAGCCCCTGGCACTGGACACACTGAGTCTAAGAGGAAACAACATCAGATACTATATTTTACCTGAGAGTGTCCCTCTGGATACATTGCTGGTTGATGATACTACAAGAAGAAAAACTAAAAAGAAAGAAGGTTTGTGACAATCAACATATGTACCTATGACTGTACAGGTAGTTATGGGTGTGTAATATTTACTGTCAAACCTGCTATTATGGACAGTATAACAATAAGCAGGTGGTATTAGCCTCAATGCAACATAAGCCTCTAAAATAAAGAAACTTTCATAATCAGGACAGTATTATTGAGTCCTAAGGTGTCCAGAATAGACAGGTTTGACTGCACTGGTGAAGGAAATTTGGCAAATTGTTAAAATTAAGTTTCAATGTATTTTAATTTGGCAAATTTGTTGCCACATACTCAAAATGTTGCTATTAATTTTTAAAGATTTTTAATTTTTATTGTTATAGTTGCTTTGGGACGTGGTAGAGGAAGAGGAAGAGGTAGGGGGCGTGGCAGGGGACGCGGTGCTCCAAGAGGACGACGATGAAGAACTTTTAATTAATTTTAATTAAAACAGCGTAACCATTCATGTACATGTATGCACAAATAATTGATGATGATTGAGAGAATAAGTACAATAATTGATGCAGCAATTAGATCTACATAATAGTAACGATGATGACGATAATGACAAAGCTATTGGAATTGTTTTTTAGTATTTTTAAGGAACTCTAAAGTAGCTACAGTAACTCCCATTTGCCCTACCTCCAATTAAACAGCACAACCCACAAGAGTAAAGTACAGATCAGGTTGGAGTAATGGCAACAAGAAATCTACAGGAGAAGAAAAGAGTGGCCTCATTGGGTGATACTGCAAGGCTGGAGCTCATTTCTCACTCTGGACCACAACTGCACATGTCGTATCGCCTCTCAGGGGGACTGTACTTCTCTACCACAGTCTGGTATCCATTCCAACTAGAAGAGCTAGACACTAAATATGGCACCTCGTTTATGGAGGAGATTTACTTCCATTGTGCATTGTTTGAGATGAATAAACTATGTACACTGGCTCCTTCACTCAAGTACATTGACCTGGGGGACTGGTCTAAGTACTTCAATAAGAAACTGGGAGAGTTATGGCGAGTACTTACCATCAAATCGTTTGGTGAATGGAGATTTTTAAACAACCTCAAAAATTGGGAAGGGCCTGAGTTCTTTGGATCTAACGTTGTTTGCAGTAAGATTCCTGTTATTAGCATTGAAGGCGGTCCTGTTCGTTGTCTAGCATTTAATGGAGGAGGGAAGGATAGTCTAGCATCAATGAAGCTTCTTGAAGACATAGGAGAGCCCTTTCATTCAATAAGCTATGCACATTCAATGTTTGGTCAGGTTGAGAGACAGCGTGGTCTCACAGAGTCTCTTGTTAAGTACACTGCATCAAAGGCACACCAACAACTGTCCATCATAGACACATTCCTTAGCTCACCTCTTCCTGGAGTAATTCCTAATGCTGAAGTCAAATCCATTGTAGCTTTTGAATTATTCAGTGCTGTAT